GGGGGGAATAACAAGATCAGGAGAGCTACCCTGTGGAGTGCTGACAGGCAGCCGAGAAAGGCCATTGGAAACCTCCCTAGGGAGCGCTGACCGGCAGGCAAGAAAGGCCATCTGAGACCTCTCTGGGTTAAGGAAGAAGACACACCACACCAGCATACCAGCATACCAGCAATCACCCCAAGGACCTACCTTCAACACCTGATTTTATCAGTAACTTGGTTTGGCTAGGTGCAAATGGGTATGTCCAGCACTGCTGAAACCTGAGCAGAGAGTCCATTGGTGCTGCAAGAGGGCGAGTCCGGGGAGATGCCTCTGCAGCAGATCACCAACCAGACTTGGGTCAGCTTTGTGGCACTGAGGAGCCTGCACCTGACTTTGTCAGTAATACTGGGACCACTGGGTATGAGCAGGCACTGGCCTGGCTCCAGCACTACTGAAACTGAGTGGATCTTTGGTACTGTGGGTGGGCAGATCCAGAGAGGAACTCCCACGGCAGATCGCAGTGCGGGCCAGTGACACAGGTCTGCGGGCCCCGGGAGGAGCTCCCGCCGTGGATCACAGTGTAGGCAGTTGCTGTGGGTGGGCGAACCCAGAGAGGAACTCCACAGTGGATCGCAGAGCTGGGTAATTGTCTTGGGTTGGCTTTTTGGTGCTGAGGGACCTCAGGAGTGGGTTTTTTGTGTGTATCTGAGACTGGCAGAAAGTGGTGACCCCCTGACCCCCTAACAACTGGAGTCTTTGCTGAACTTGAGCTGGGGGCTCTGAAAAAGTACAACATCATCATTAGAAGCCCACTCAAAGCCCTAGAAACCGTCCCTAGCAACAGGGATGCTCTCTTCTGCTCTCACCTTCTCCACCAATAACCTCACTCATCAAATAGAAGAAACCACATTCAGCCACCATAATACCTTCCAGTTCGAATTCTAAACCCTCTTTACAACAAACAGAAACCCATGTCCACATTCCACACAGTGATTCCATCATCACAAACAAAACTGCAGAGCAATCCAGCATACCTGAATTAATAACTAAAAAAAAAAAAAAACACCAGCTTCACCTTTTCAAAATATTAAATCATAAAACCAAGACAAAACAAATCAATACATAACTAACAGTTAAAAACAACTTCAAAATGTCTAGGAAACAACAGGCAACCTCAAATCAAACAAAAAAACAGGCAAGGCATTAGAAGCAAAATGACAAAAAAAAGGTCTCATTAAATATGGAGGAAGAGGTGGCAGTAGAATTATCTGAGAAGGAATTTAGAAGATGTGTTTGTAGAGCTTTACAAGAGCCTATGGAAACCCCAAACAGAAGCAAGGAGAACAGTTCCCTGGAAGAACACAGGAAAATCATTCAAGGACAAAATAACAAGATTGATGCACAATCAGAACTCATACAAAAACAGCAGTTAGAAATCCAGAAGATGAATATCAAAATTACCGAATTACATAATATATTAGAAGCACAAAAGAGTAGGTTAGAACTGGCTGAAGAATGCATATCCCAACTAGAAGACAAATCCCTGGACACGAACCTGTATAAAGAAAAATCGGAACAAAGATTTAAGAGAAATGAAGAGAACCTAAGAATTATATGGGATGACATGAAAAGAAACCACATAAGACTCATTGGAATTCCAGAACAAGAAGAGGTGAGAAAAACCACTGAGAAAATTGTGGAAGACCTGTTAACAGAAAACGTCCCCCATATCATGAAGGAACAAAAGATATTTGTCCAAGAAGCTCATGGAACACTACACAAGATAGATCCCAAGAGAAAAACACTAAAGCATATTATAATTAAACTCTCTAAAACCAAAAACAAAGAAAAAATTTTGACAGCTACCCAGGACAACAGAAATATTACTTATAATAATCAAATAGTTAGGCTGAACTCTGATTTATCAGAGTTCTGATTTATCGGAAACCATGCAGGCAAGAAGGCAATGGGATGGCATATATAAAACACTGAAGGAAAAGAACATCCAGGCAAGAGTGCTATGTTGTTATGTGCTGTCAAGTCAAACTCGACTCATAGCAACCCCTCCTTGGGCTTCTGAGGCAGC